TGTTTGAAATGTTTGAAATAAAAATGAACTGAACTGAACTGAACTGAACCTCTGTGTTGCTCAGGGACAGCCCCGAAACCTGACAGATCTAGAGGAGATCTTTATGGAGAAGTGGGCCAAAATCCCTCCTGCAGTGTGTCCAAACCTGGTCAAGAACTACATGAAACATTGACCTCTGTAATTGTAAACAAAGGTTTCTGTACCAAATACTAACATTGGCTTTTCTCAGGTGTTCAAATACTTATGTGCAACAGTGCTATACAAATAAATTCTTTAAAAATCATACAATGTGATTTCCTGAATTGTTTTTAAAATGCCGTCTCTCACAGTGGGAATACAACGTGAATTTTAGGCTTCTCCATAATTTGTAAAAGGGAGAACTTGCAAAATCGCAGGGTGTTCAAATACTTATGTTCCTCACTGTAACTCCTTAACTGCAGGTCTGGTACTGAGCCTATTTTCAATTTGCCTTTCAAGACTGGAAAATGTGAACCTGTCTTTTTGCTCAGGCTCTACTATTTGGCCTCATTTATTATAATTGTTGTGCTACATAGAGCCGTTCGGTGGTGTTGGAACAATACCTTAAGCTGGGGATTCATGCCATTCTTCATTAAGCAATGCATTTTGTCCTCTTTTTCGTGTAGAAGCAGGCTTAATTTCTCTACTGCCCTCTCCATTTGTATATTGCTTATATGTCCTTCTGGACATCAAGAAAGTGTGACATACCTTCATGCGGTTGAAGCTCTGCATGTTCAAGTTGCTTTAAATGTGAGACTAACTGACTGTGTATTTTATTAATCACATAGTTTTTTTTCCCGAGATTTGAAGTATATCACATAATTTAATCAGCTGCTCTTCCGTCAGTTGATACAGTGTTTCTTTCATTTTCAGCTGTAGCTTCTCTACTTCAGACTCCAGAGGAGTTAGCACAGGCAATGAAATGAGTGTTTATTAGACTTGAAAGATTTTTGCTGCCTCCTAGTGATGACTGTTTACTTCAGGATACAAACGCCAATGTCAGTCTAGTAACATCTCTGCTTCTTTGCAGTGCTCCTTTCTGATGCCTGGGTCATCTGGCTTTTTCTTACAGCTCAGGCGTGGTCCTCAAGGCAAATATCCTAGTGGTGCCTCCAAATGTTGTGCCCTTAAACAGGGGAAATAGTAAGGGGCAATGAATGAGACACTGGCAGCAGCTCTTGCCTTCACCTGTCTGTATTGAGTATCAGCTACAAAAGATACAACCAAATCCACATTTTCTTTGCATGGATACATCAGTCTCAGGACCATAGTTTCCAAACTAAGTTATTCTTCTTTGCTGTTTCAACATTCAACAAGTGTCTTCTTAACACACATATTTTACCTGACACATTCAATGACTTTCCACAGTAATGAAATAATACTTTGAGTATGTATGGCTCTCATGGTTAACTAAAATACAAATCATGGCAGAATAATCATCATACAATATGGCAGGATGATAGCTAAAGCTAGCTTACACAGCAACAGAGTTAGCCTACATTTTACTCCTTCTCACATCTGTCATTTGTCTAATCTCTACATTGTTATGTGTAACATTGTTTCTCCACTTTCACCGTGGTACTAAGGTGGACTGACCATTAGAACAAGTGGACTGAAAGCTGTGCAGTAAAAAGTATGCAGTGCATTTATATTACATTATTACAACAGTATTACATATTTATTCATGTAACTCAGTATTTTCTCAGCATGTTCTTTTTTTGACTCTTGTATAATGTTAAATGTTTGTTATTTAAATGTCCTTCTAAAAAGTCAAAGTCTGTTTCGCTTCTTCCCTTCAGCCAGTTGTCCCAGATAACAGGATTTTTAATAACTTACTACAGTTAAACCAGGATGAAACACAACTATTAGGGCTAAAGCTAAAGGTCAGAAATTTCTTATAAATTGTTTCTGGAGAGTGTTACAAATTGTTACTTCAGCATTATCAGTGATGCTGACCTCACTTTCCAGGACCATATCTACAATATATAGAACAGTTTTTATCTAAAAAATTGGAAATGTTAGCACCTTTACCAAAGAAATCTCCCCATGTTGTCATTTGGCCGTACTACTGTCCTGAGATTTAGTTAAAAATGAAATATCATGAGATTATACCTATGCTCAGATGATTACTGCTTTAGCCTTCAAAAAGACATATGAAGCAGGTCATGCTTTACAATTTGATTAACAAGTCGCTAATCCATGAAAATGTAGTATCCCTGAGATCCTTCCTTTATTTGTGACACATTTCAAAACATCAAAATGTAGATGGTCAAAATGCTCAACTTCAGCCCTCACAGCAGGAGCTCATTAACATACGGGTAACACAGAGGCCACACACACACTCATATATATATAGAGAGAGAGAGGGATAGAGATCGAGTCTAGTTAAGGCGTAGTCGCTTGTAAACTTTTGTAAACCTAGCTAGCCTGGGACCTCCATCTTTGACATTCATTGTCCAATATATCCACTATCCTTCTTCTGCACAAGTCTAAATGATAAATTCCCCCTCCAAAATAAAGCAAAAATGGTCAACACACTAATACTCATTTTCAAATAAATACTCAAAATTGTTGTTATAACCAGCTAGTCTATGGAGGAGCTGGACCTTAGAGCCATCCCCACAAACAGTACACAGAAGCCCACAATGCGTTAAATAGCAGCAGGCAACACAAGTTGTAACATGTTTCATAACAAGTAATCTCATGACTAATGTAAAGGGAGATATTAATAGAACAAACAGAATATGCTCCTCCGTAAATAGGCGAAACAGCTAATATTCTTATAACCACTGGTTTGTACATGACCACCTTGTTGACTTACCGGTGTGGTAGGAGAAAGGCCTGTGCTTTTCATCCCTCATTATGCGGTGCCTAAGAGTCACTGACAGGTCCTCCTGGATGGGGACTGCTGCTGTTTGATTGGCTGATTCTGCGGTAAGACTTGGGTAAGAGTGAAGTGGATTGTAAGTATTTGCTTTTAGTTGGTCTTTTCGAACAGGCGGTGGTTTAGTAGGCTCTTTTTCAGTCTGTTCCTTCTCCCGTGCACCACAGTAAGGCATCTTACCAAATAAGTGCTTTGCTGCTATGTTGCTATCCTTCCTCTTTGCCCTGCTTAAACCTCCCGATCCTTTCCTCTCCTTGTCTTTTTTCTCTTCTTCTTCCTTCTCATCATCCGTATCCTCGCCTTCCCTCTCTCTGTCCTCTACTTGACCTTTGCAGTTTTCTCTGTCCTCACTCCCAGCTTCATTATTATCCTTAACTGCTGCACTGACAACAGCAGGCGTGTCTTTCATCTGCTCACTGGCTTTGGTAGCCTGGTGGTGAGAGGTGGGATTGTGGTTGGGTGCTCTGCTTGGCCAAATGTAGCTGGGAAAAGAGGAAATGACACCACCACTGAAGCCCAGGCCAGCCAGTAAAGTGCTGGTCACCACAGATGCCACAGTTGCTTGACTACCACTGGAGGATGGACCAATGCCTGTTGCCATAGAGACAAATGAGAAGGGGATACCAGATGAAGTCCAAGTTGATGAGCCAGAGGAAATGGGAGCCATATCAGCCGAGGAGGCTGGAGACAGTGTTGGCTGAGAAAGGAAAAAAATGTAGTTAATACAAAGACGCATCATCAGTCATCCCATGAACTCACTGAGCTTTGACATTATAATGAAGAAAATTACAACTAATGTAAACTGTGAGATTTCACTCACCTTGTTTGTTCCATTTATTTGTTTTACCAAATCTTTTTATCTTATACAGAGTAGAAACTGCAAATTCTCAAATACAACCATATACATCAGAGTACTGCGCTGTATCATAATAATGAGAGTGCACAGCATGAGCATCATGTGCAACAAAGATTATGACAGGACATCTCTGTGTGGAAAAAAAAGTTTACGATCTGCTTGTAAAACATGATGGCAGGGTTTTAGTATGTCAATAATAATATCATGAATCCTTTTCGGGTAACACACATTACAGATATTACATACCTGTCTGACATACATTTACCTGATTATAAGATTATAAGTTAAATTATTTGATTATATATGCATAATCAGAACAAGATTAAAGGGTCACACTGAGCTTTAAAACTAGAAAACGTCAAAATATGTTTCAATTTTTAAGGGTCATTAGAAATGGGCAAAGATTTAAAAACCTTTGAAGAAAAAAAAACTGACATTAGAACTTTGAGGCCTTAAGGTGTCACATATTAAAATGACGTGAGATCAGTCACATGAAAAACAGAACATTAACACTGTTAACTTCTTCATCGCTTTCATCAAGAATTCTTTGATTCGTGTGAAATTTATCTGAACTATGGTCAATAATTTACCAGTGACTATTTACAGACATCAATGAATTCTAGGTGAATTCATACCCTTTTAAATGATTGTATGGAATGAAGCAAGAAAGAGAGAATGCAGTTAGAGTTTGGTCGTTTCTGAAAGTTTGGTTGCATAAATAAACTAAAATAAAATCTCTTCATCCATATGCATATGAACTTAATTTTTCCTGACTCTAATGCTTATTGAGACACTGATGTTCATATGAGAGATGCTCACACAGAATCAAAAGTCAATACAGGGAGTGCAGAATTATTAGGCTAGTTGTATTTTTGAGGAATAATGTTATCATTGAACAACAACCATGTTGTCAATGAACCCAAAAAACTCATTAATATCAAAGCTGAATGTTTTTGGAAGTAGTTTTCAGTTTGTTTTTAGTTTTAGCTATTTTAGGGGGATATCTGTGTGTGCAGGTGACTATTACTGTGCATAATTATTAGGCAACTCAACAAAAAACAAATATATACCCATTTCAATTATTTATTTTGTGGGGATAGGTTAATTGGATAATCCAAATTGCCACTAGGTGTGAATGTGCGAGTGAATGTGAGTGTGAATGGTTGTCTGTCCCTGTGTGTTAGCCCTGCGACAGACTGGCGACCTGTCCAGGGTGTACCCCGCCTTTCGCCCTATGACAGCTGGGATAGGCTCCAGCGCCCCCCGCGACCCTGAAAAGGATAAGCGGAAGCGAATGGATGAATTATTTATTTTTACCAGTGAAACCAATATAACATCTCCACATTCACAAATATACATTTCTGACATTCAAAAACAAAACAAAAACAAATCAGCGACCAATATAGCCACCTTTCTTTGCAAGGACACTCAAAAGCCTGCCATCCATGGATTCTGTCAGTGTTTTGATCTGTTCACCATCAACATTGCGTGCAGCAGCAACCACAGCCTCCCAGACACTGTTCAGAGAGGTGTACTGTTTTCCCTCCTTGTAAATCTCACATTTGATGATGGACCACAGGTTCTCAATGGGGTTCAGATCAGGTGAACAAGGTGGCCATGTCATTAGTTTTTCTTCTTTTATACCCTTTCTTGCCAGCCACGCTGTGGAGTACTTGGACGCGTGTGATGGAGCATTGTCCTGCATGAAAATCATGTTTTTCTTGAAGGATGCAGACTTCTTCCTGTACCACTGCTTGAAGAAGGTGTCTTCCAGAAACTGGCAGTAGGACTGGGAGTTGAGCTTGACTCCATCCTCAACCCGAAAAGGCCCCACAAGCTCATCTTTGATGATACCAGCCCAAACCAGTACTCCACCTCCACCTTGCTGGCGTCTGAGTCGGACTGGAGCTCTCTGCCCTTTACCAATCCAGCCACGGGCCCATCCATCTGGCCCATCAAGACTCACTCTCATTTCATCAGTCCATAAAACCTTAGAAAAACCAGTCTTGAGATATTTCTTGGCCCAGTCTTGACGTTTCAGCTTGTGTGTCTTGTTCAGTGGTGGTCGTCTTTCAGCCTTTCTTACCTTGGCCATGTCTCTGAGTATTGCACACCTTGTGCTTTTGGGCACTCCAGTGATGTTGCAGCTCTGAAATATGGCCAAACTGGTGGCAAGTGGCATCTTGGCAGCTGCACGCTTGACTTTTCTCAGTTCATGGGCAGTTATTTTGCGCCTTGGTTTTTCCACACGCTTCTTGCGACCCTGTTGACTATTTTGAATGAAACGCTTGATTGTTCGATGATCACGCTTCAGAAGCTTTGCAATTTTGAGACTGCTGCATCCCTCTGCAAGATATCTCACTATTTTTGACTTTTCTGAGCCTGTCAAGTCCTTCTTTTGACCCATTTTGCCAAAGGAAAGGACGTTGCCTAATAATTATGCACACCTGATATAGGGTGTTGATGTCATTAGACCACACCCCTTCTCATTACAGAGATGCACATCACCTAATATGCTTAATTGGTAGTAGGCTTTCGAGCCTATACAGCTTGGAGTAAGACAACATGCATGAAGAGGATGATGTGGACAAAATACTCATTTGCCTAATAATTCTGCACTCCCTGTAGTGTTGATTCACATCCATTATCCTTACCATTCCAGTTTTTACAATCCTCGTCCCTTCAAAGATCCTGGTAGTGTTCGCTAAAACAAGAGAAAGAAAATAGTATCTACAGTGAAACGCAGGACTGAGGAACACTTAAACAGATGTTTGCAAACTAGTTTGAGTCCACTATAAGCTCATAAACCACTTCATGAAACAATGTAAACGTAAGTCACTGAATACATATTAAGGAAGCCAATTAACTGGATGTAATTAAATTGAATTATTACACTGTACATCATTTCAGTTGTCTGTCCTTTAGTCTGCAGCTACTGATACATCACTAGCTTACATTAATAACCTTAATATGAATGACTAAAATATTATGATCAAAGGAATAAGTAATAATACATTTTGAAATATTAAGGTTATTATGGCTTATACACCAATAATATGCAGGGCTGATGGAAATACTGATAGTAAGGAAGACATTGGAGAAGAGAATGTGCCAGGAATTCGTAACACACACACTTAGAGTGTGTGTGTGTGTGTGTGTGTGTGTGTGTGTGTGTGTGTGTGTGTGTGTGTGTGTGTGTGTGTGTGTGTGAGCACGTACTACCTCTAAAAAGCATACTCTGACTGAAGTCACTGCGCATGTCATTAGTGCAGACAGCCTGGACTCGAAAGAGGTAGAGCACATCGGGGGAGACAGGAGAAATGATGGCCTCCTGGACAACAACACAAGTTGCAGCAAGACAATCGGTAAGTTTGGCATGCTGAGTTATGTCAATGAGAAATCTTTATGTCTGCATCCAAGTAAATGACAGTAGGTAGCATATGTTAGCAGAGTGGGAACAAAACTAAACATTTGTAAACCTGAAATGCCTTTTTCCATGATATGCAGTTAATTCCATCAATGTGACTTAAAGTGGTCACTTTTCATGTGGAAAAGTTTGTTCTTTTAAATATTTGACTGCTTTTTCTAAAATTACTATTTTAAAATATGAATGGCATATAATAATAATGGTATATAATATAATTATGACTGATGGCTGTTCGTTGGAATGTAGCCTGAATGCATTTCATAAATGTAAGGGGGTGGACAGAAAAACCTTTGCCAGTTCAAACATATTTTTCCAGTTTGATTTTTAGAATTTCGTGGTCAACAGTATCAAATGCTTTTTTTTAGATCTAGAAAGACTCCAAGTGCATACTTATTGTTATCCATACATTCTGTTATTTCTGTTTATTAAAAAACCTTTTTAAAAAAAAGAAAAAAACCAAAAACATTAAAAGCACAGTTTCAGTGCTATGTAGCACTCTGGCATCTAACCGAAATGTTTCAGAGATGCCATTTTTCCCAGAAAAGCCTGGAGCTGAAGGAAGACAATTCTTCTCCAGGACCTTGACAAAGTGAATGAAAACAGCAGAAATCTGGGGGATAAGAAAAAGCTGGAGGAGTAATATGAGACCTGATAGCAGCAACCTTATTGACTACCAAAGCCTGAGTTAGAAGTGACGAGTTCAAAGAATAGGCTTAACTAGTAAATCATCTTTATTCTTAACCAAATTCTTAACCCTATAATAATTCAAGTATAAGTGTGATTAATATGTTAAATTACAAATGTAGTTTGAGTAGTGAAAATGACTGGTCTAATGTCTGAATTTTGTTTGTGTTGACATTATCCAGCTTTGACCTTTTAGTGTCTGCAGGAATGTGGGAAATATAACTATGTCGCCAGTCCATCATTATGCATGATTTGGCATGGTAATAATTATAGCACTGGTGAACACAGAACCTTAATTCATATGTGATTATGTTTAATTCTGATCAGGGGCACTTTCTTTTAATGCCTGACTTCTAAAATACTTGATTTAATAAAAAGAAAATGTATTAATTATATTTTCAATAAACTGACTTAATGTCACGGTACAGAACCTGAATCATGGCTACAAAACCTAGGCTGAAGCCAAAAGCAGCCACAAATATTGGTGTTCAACCCGGTCAAAAGCTTTTTCTTGGTCTAGAGAAATGAGACCAACATTTATACCCAAAGAGCTAGAGAGGTCCAAAACATCCCTAATCAAAGTGACATTATCACTTATCAGCCTGCCGGGGACGCAATACGTTTGGTCCCCATGAACAACAGAAGCCATCACGTCACGAAGCCTGGTGGCCAGGACTTTGGAGAAAATCTTATAGTCTGTACAGAGCAACGATACCTATCTCCAGTTCTT